AAGGGATGGTGGGGAGGTGGGGGAAGGGCTCTTTACATTAGTGATGGGTGATAGAACAAGAGGAAATGGGTATAAGCTTAGTCAGGGGAGATTCAGGTTGGATGTTAGGAAGTATTTCTTCTCTGAAAGGGTTGTCAGCCACTGGAATAGGCTGCCCAGGGAGGTGGTTGAGTCTCCATCCCTGGATGTGTTTAAGAATAGGGTGGATGATCTACTTAGGGATATGGTTTAATGGGGATTAGGGACGGTTGGACTCAATGATCTCTAAGGTCTTTTCCAACCTAGAAATCTATGAATCTATGAATATTCTCCAGTGACTATCCCAATAGAGACTTTTGTAGAGGTCAAGCTCTTTGGACTTTCCTTCCCTCTGACAGTCTCCTATGCTAGTAAAAGGTTTTTAATGTTGATAAACCAAAATGATGTTGCACTGCTTCCTTTACTATTTAGCCCTTCCCATTTTATTTTTAAGCACTTGCTGTTTTCTCTTCACCTAGACTATCCTCACGAATGTGCTGTTTGGTTTTTTTTTCTCCTTTCAGAATTCTGTTGAGTGCTCATATTCCAAATAACTGTTTCCTTGGGTGCCTGCATTAACTTTTTCTGACAATTGCATTAAATTGTGCTGTAAGCTAGAAAGATCAGATACAACACGCAGGGGCCATATTAACACAAGAGGCAGCTTCTGCCATTTTGCCAACAGAATAATTTAAGCCATGTAAGGGCCAGCTATCTGACAATCAATTTGTGCTTTCCTCTCAGGATCTGACTCCCATTTTGGCGGTTCTGCTGTCAATATTTAAATATGTTTCCTAGCGCCTGTTTCCAGTTTGAGATTACTTTCAGGTGCAAAAGCTAAAATGTATACGGCAATCAGCCAAAGACGAAAGAGAAGTTACATGTAACGAAAGTTGGATTTCTGTAAAGATATCTACGTATTAAAGAGATCACATGATGAAATGCCTGCCTGTATCTGACACGAAGAGTTTCTATTGAAAATCGATGGTAACAAGTTCATAGCTGCTTTTGGAGGTCCTTCTAGATGCTTATCTGCATTTTTTTTTTAATAGTATTTGCTACTTTTTGAATGAGTAATTAATTATGGGGATGTTCATGACTTCACTGTGACCACTGCCAGGAATCAAACACAGGTTAGCACCTAAAACCACAAGTGCTCATTTGGATTTAATAAAGCAACCCAATGTATGTCGTCTTTACTTGAGCAAGTCACAAGCAGGAGGCTTGTTCATGCAGCTGGCATAGTTTGTATGCTTGTTTCTTTGAGTGCAAAGTTGTCTCAGCAGTTTTGATCTGATTTGACTGGCTGATACTTAAAAACGCTTTCCCTGGTAAATGTTTGAAAACATACATTTCTGAGAACTGTGGAGCAAAGGAACAACGACAGATTAAAGTCTTGACTGAAAGTTCACCTCTCCAAATGGCTCTTCAATCAGGAGCAGAAGGGGGAAATGCCAGCAAGGATGGAGAGGACCAGTTTATGTTTTCCTCCCATTTGTCTTCCTGTGCAGATCTCTTCCTGTGTTGGCCTTCTGCTAGATTACCATTTCTGTTAGAATACCACTTCTTTCTCCTATGAAGACAGGCTGAGAGAGTTGGGGTTGTTCAGCCTGGAGAAGAGAAGGCTCCAGAGTGATCTTCTAGCAGCCTTCCAGTACCTAAATGAGGCCTACGGGAAAGCTGGAGAGGGACTTTTTGCAAGGGTATATAGTGATAAGACAAGGGGCAATGGATTTAAACTGAAAGAGGGCAGATTTAGATTAGATCTAAGAAAGAAATTTTTACATTGAGGGTGGTGAGGCACTGGAACAGGTTGCCCAGGGAAGTTGTGGATGCCTCATCTCTGGAAGTGTTCAAGGCCGGGTTGGATGAGGCTTTGAGCAACCTATTGTAGTGGAAGGTGTCTGTGCCCATGGCAGGGGGGTTGGAACTAGATGATCTTTGAGGTCCCTTCCAACCCAAACCATTTTCTCAAAATGCTGATGATTTGAAACCTACTTCTAGTCTTTTTGCTTTCTCTTGTCTAGAATTTTACTGGTATCACCTTTTCTTTAGAACTTATTCTCCATCCTGTCTAGCTATTCATCTTTTCTACAAGATCAGATGCTTTTTGGGATAGATCATGGCTTTAACTATATTTATGAAACATTCTGTAGGTCTGCAGTTCTGCTAAGATAAATAATCAGCAAAATGGAAATAAGAGAAGAGCACGGAAAGAGAAAAATGTGAAAAAGGAGGAAAATGAGCTGAATCTTTATATCTTAGCTTCATCAGCTGGTGAACATTTAACTGGCCATATAAAATCAGGACTGAAATGCACGCACACAAAATGTGTGTTGCTAACTAAGATAACGAGAAAGTTGTAAAAACTGGTAATTGATTCTCTGTGAGAGAATACAGTATTTCCTAATGAGCTTTATCCAAAATGCAGTCTTTGAAGCACACTATAAAGAGAACAAAGACCTAAGATTTTTATACCAAAATATACCAGATGACAGAAGGAGAGAAAGAGGACTTATGTGTTTTTTTTTTTATTCACTCATTTTCAAACTTCAATTCTGTCTATGCTGACTTGTGGCTTCCATTTCTAATTTTAAAAAAGAGGCATTCGTCATATTCCTGTTGCTGTTTTTTCTTCAAACATTACAAGCAATTAGGGAAGTTTAGGAGAACATTATACACCAAAGACTATGTCTAAATCTACATCAGAAAGAAAAAGGCGCAGGGGGAAAAGGAGTGGAATAAACATTAGCATAAACATTTGAAATGATATTAAGTAGTTTGGTTATAAGACAATGCAGTCTCATATACAATGCAGTGCAATTCCTCTACATATTGGAAAGGTTTCACTTTTTAAATTTTATGGGCTGTCTTGTTATGCATATTGCTCTTACATATACATTAGGTATACCTATTTGAAATATTTCATAATCGCAACAGAACATGTCTTGATATATGGTGCTAAGAAATCATGTGTTTAAATGTATGCAGTTCAGTTTCAACCTACTGTTTGTCCTATCTTATTGACTAGAATTTGCACACAGAGAACTTAAGGGTAGTTAATACTTCATCAGAATACTGATCATGCTATTTAAATTGTCCATGGCTCACTTAAGTTTGAATATTTATATTTTATTCTTTTATTCTATTAAATATATTTTTCATATTTATCAAACTTTTGGCTGAAATGTCTATCTTGGGGATGATATTCAGCTTCTCTCTTAGGTCTTTGGAAGTACTGTTTTTACCTTAAGTGAAAAAAAACCCCACAAAACAACCCACCCTATAAAGCTAATCAGGCAGCTAACAGCATTCCACCAAGATAGTCAGAAGAGGCATTATTCTGGCATCTAGAAATTAGAGCGGTGATTGTGGTATTTAGCAGGTGCCCCCAGGAGTGAGAATGCACATCTGGAGTAGAGGGTGCAAAATACCCTGTGTTTCTAGGAGATTAAGCCATTTTCCCTGCCTCGATGATATTTTATTTGCCGCTTATTCATTTTTGACAGTCATCAATTCCTGGAATTCAGCTGTAGTCCCTGAGTGTATGCACTTGTTCTGTTTTCACTTGATCATGGATTCCACCAAAGTCATGTAGGAATCAAATTAAAACTTTTTTTTTCACAGCTGTGGAGTATGACTGGAGAGACTATTCTGCTCTGTAAAAGAGGTACAAATGATAGTATCTGCTGGGAATGGGAAGCTCTTGGTGCGTTTTGGGCACTTCTTGAGCACAGCTGATGGACTAGGCTTCTCAAAGGAGCCCTTCATGTAACTTGCATACATGACATCTTGTCCAACTGATCCCAGTGGGATTTATGCCAAGCTACTGAAACCAGTGCTGTTCTGGAAATAAACAGCAGTAAAACCTTTGAGGGAACTTTCATGCCAAAAAACCTAAAGGTGCCTGAAGAATTTTAGCAGTTCCAGGGTCAGATACCAGGTAGAATGTTTTCAGATCCCAGTTGTGGAACAGCTGAAGTTCACTGTAAACCTTATACAGGAGCCTGAATTCCTTCTTTGTAAACAGCTTTAGCTGACCATACCAGAAATGTGACTTCCTCTTATATCCTGGGCGTATCCCCTTGAGCCACGGAAGAAATTAACATCCTGGGAGTAGACTGTCTTCCATGTCTCTTTAATGTCTTTTCTCCTTCTCCCTATCTTATTTATAAACTTCCTAACTGAGAGAAAATGCAGCTGCTTTTGGATTTCTGCTAGGTCTGGGTCCTGGGAGCTGGCAGAAGGGAGGAAGGCTGTTGCCAAGGCTGCAAGTTGTGGTTTTGGTATAGAACTATGGAGCCATCTGTACCTGTTAGGACGCAGCCCAGGTTTCATCTCAACCTCAGCAATACGAAGCTCCTCACCTTTCTTACTTGGCTGCAGTGGAAGTTCTCTACCATAGATAGGACTGACTTTGTTACTTGGGATCAAGCCTCACAGTCCACTTATGAATGCGAAATTATTTGATACATGATGTAAATCCATTGGTCATTAGTTGCATGTTTTTGAGATTTTTTTTTTCACGTTAAATCTCATGTGGCTGGAGGGTTTTGCTAACATAAGAGAAGGCGGCATACTGTTTTGGACTATGAACCACCTAGGCCAGTTGAGAAAAGAGCGTTCGATTTAATTTCTTACTGCAAATATCCTCAGATTCCTAGTTCACAGGCATCTTTTTTGGGACCATATCAGCAGTGTGTCTGATATCTGAGTCTGCTTCATGTCAGCAGCAGAAGTATTTGCTTACCACCCGGCTCATCCCGTGCATTGTTTGCAGTGCCATGGCAACCCCGCTCGCTGTGAGCCGCACAGCAGAACCAGCCTGCCCTGGTGCACACCAGCAGTCTCCAGCCAGGCCCAGGAACTCTGCAGCTTCTATTTCTAGTCTGCAGACAGGGATTTCGCCTTTGCGTACGAGCTTGTAAGCATGTGTGCAGAATGCGGGTGTGGGTGCTGGCCCTTATGTGTGTAGATCCAGGATGCGGTCGAAGAGGCTCACCACCGGTACGTAGTGCTTTCCACGTAGGGCGATGGACTGACTTTGTGTCAGACAGGGGGTCTGACCTCAGGGTGATTGTCTCAGTTATAGAGATGGTGATACAGAAGAGGGAGATCTTGAATTGCTTGGTTTAAACTTGCCCAGCAAAATTCATCAATCTGAAGAGAAAACTTTACTCCCTTCAAACGGTATCACAATCCTAGAATGAGTGGGATTTGGTTATCTGGGAACACTGGCAATTACATTTTTTGGAATTTTATCATAGGATTCATAATATTTGCTGTTCAAGATTCCCAGAGTCTCATACAAATCTGTTTTTTCATTAAAACCAGCAAGCTTCTAGTAATCAATTTTGTGGAGGAAAGCTGACAAGACGTTAACTGATATATTTGAGAAATAATCTAGTTAAATAATACTTTAATTATATTTAAATCATTCTTGTGATGCTGAACTTTTTTAAGTATGGGTCAACATTACTGCACGTTCTTAGAGTTTATTTTGTTTCCTCAGACTGAGTTATTTTATTTCAGAGTATCCAGGAAGGTTGTCATGCCTCACTAGTTTTTGTTTCTGTACAATAATCATAGTTGAACAAGCTTAATTGTATTGCTTGGATAACACATGATATTTCATTTTTGTGTTTCAGAGCCTCCATGTATAACAGAAGAAGTGTTTGTAAGTATACTTTATAAGGCTTGATCATTCACTTTGTCATGCAACTGTAAAGCAAAAAAAGCAAAAAATGTTTTCAGAAACTGTTGCTTGGTTTCTCATTTGTTTCCTCTGTGTAAGTATGGAGTACTGAGTAATTTCTTAAAATTTTCTCAGACAAAAAAAATACTTAGTTTGAAAATAATTACAAAAAAAAAAGTAACAGGAAACTATGGAGAATAAGAATGGAAATGGAAAGTGAAATAGGAGGACGGAAGGAAAAAATCAAATGGACAGTTCAACATGACAGGTTTAACAATCTTCGCCTTACTTTACCTTTTCTGCCCTTTGCTCATAGCTTGTTATAGGACTTCCCTGATGTTTGTCTTCTCATTTGAAAGGTAGATATGTTTGTCTGTTAACTCATATGAAATGACACCTTAAATCTTGCAGCTACGATAATGTTTGCCTCTTCCTTGTTTTGGATGCCTTTGTAACTGTATTTTAAAGTATAAATGTATTTCTGTTCCTTTTGGGAGCCTCTAGATATTATTTATTTATACTGTTTATGATCATAAACAGAATCAACATTAATCCAGGTAGAGAGACAAAATAGATATAGCAGATATTTAGCATATGTAAATATGTACATGAGAACATCTCTCAACTGCATATTTACATTGCATTAAACCTTGATTCTGCAGGTTACTTAATGTGACATGTCTGACTCCAGGTGAACTTCACAGAAAGACATGAAGTTGTCATTTCTATGCAGGATTGGGGTTTTATACTAACTTTAACTTTTGGCATTTAAAGATGCCATTTATTATATATTTTTCAAAAGTGGAGAGGTATTTAACATTTTAGTGGGTGCTGCAATGTGAAATGCAAACATTTCAAGATGGTGTCACTTTTACCCACTTTCAGCTTCTCGTTTGGTGTCTAGTAATGTTTCTGTGTTTCTGTACTTTTTCATGATGGCAGTAATAGAGGAAGCTATCAAATACTATAGATAGAAAGTCATTAGGTTTGTTTCTACAAAATATCTAAGAAATGGTTGTATACATTGCCAAAGTGTTTTTTATTTTTTTTTCAATAAAAAAAGAGTGATAGAAATCAGATCCAGGATATTCTTATTGGTACACAAATTGTCCGAAGGCGAAACTGCAGTTTTGGACCAATTTTTATCACACCTTGACCTTCAGTTGCAACTGTAAGCAGCTTTTTCCAGTCATAATTTGAACTGTGCAGCAGGAAAACTGGCACGGGAAGAAACGAAACAAAATGCTTCTTGACACAAAAATCTAAGCTGTAGTATTGTTTACTCCATAATCTACAATGTACAAATATGAAAGTGCAACTATGCTTTCAAATTAAAATAAAACTGACCACAAAAACCCCTCCAAAAAACAGAGGAAAGTACATTGTGTAGAGATGCAGTAAGATCAGTAAGTATTAAAGTTTGCATTAATAAGATCATAAACATTTTATTGATTAATGAACCACTGTGTTTACATTTCTTGCTGTTATATGGGACTACAGAGAATTATATCCTTGGCAAATTAAAAACACATGTTCCTGCGTATTCTTAAAGAGCTTATACTTCAACTGGTAATAAATGAATTGTTTTGAATAAGTCCTTTGAAAAAAAAATTTACATGGGGTATTATCATATCTAGCCATCTTCAGATTCATTCTTATCAGTGTCAAATCTAATTGCGCATTACCCAAACCAAACATGAGGCAGACTGCAGCTTGTTTCTAATAAATTTTTTTGTTAATTGTATCAACACTTGATGAATTGAGATTTCTGGATCTGATTGATTGCCTAGTGACATGAGCGAGAGGATTTTCTGTTGACATCAAAATGCTTAGGGTTAGACACTTTGGTAAATTCTCCTATTTAATCAGTGCCCTAATGTCTCCAGGTCCATGGTACTGCAATTACACTGGACCACGGGCCTGCGATCCAAATAAAGCACGATCTCTGTAATGCAGAAAGCCTTGCTTTCAGTGTTGTCAACATTTTCCAGGAATGAACATGAGCTAACTTGCCTGTCCTGTATCAGTCATAGCAGCAACCACCAGTGCTAAGGAATAAATGTTGGCAGACTAAGGCTGGACAAACACCATCAGGTCTGGTTCTGACTTGTCAAGCAGCACACAGGGGGTTTCCTGAGTTCATATTAAAGTAGATTAGCCCAAGATTTCTTCCTTACCTAACTACAAGCTGTTTCTAATTAGTTAGACACTGTGGAGTTTGGATCAAGATACTGCTTGCCTACAAGTGATACCATGTTCACTGTGCATAACCTCTCTTTAACAGTATTCCTCACTAGTGCATTTCAATGCTATGAACTTAAAAAAGAGAAAAAACATTTGTATCCCAAGACATTTGCTGATATCAGCAAATACATTTGATTTAGGTGCATTCTTCTTGTGTTGCAAGGCAGAAATAACAGAATATTCAAGAAAGTGAAACTATTAAAAATTGTTTAGAAGTCTTCATTATACTGAAGACAGATTTTTGAAGACCACTGGAATAATGGTCTACTTTTACCTTCTGTTGAACTGAAATGAGAGTGGAGGTGGTATTAAGTGCAGTAGAAGTAAGACTGAGATCCATATTTATTGTTTTGTCAATAGTAAAAAAAAATATATATTTCTATCCTACAGTTTTTGAGTCTTTTTAACAGGATTTAAAATGCAGGGATCAGAAAGGGTACAAAACCACCTGCAGATGCAGTCTTAACTTTTGATGAAGTCAACAGAAAGTCTCCCAGTTTTGTCAGATTCCAAGTATGGCATATACTGCTTGCTTGGTGAGCCAAATTGTAGATCAATGAACTCCCTTTTATTTCCAAAACATCCCCAAGCAGCAGTGTGGGAGCAGAAGCAGGCTCTGGTGAGCTTTTATACTCCCCTCCTTCCCAGATGTGAGAGAGAAAGGTATAATGTGAGGAATTTCTAGACTGTGAGCTTATGCACATTTTTTCAAAAGTAAACATGCAGATTTGCAGCATTTAGAAGCTGTTGAGTTTATGAAGGCTTTATCTGCAAATTCCTTGGCAAAGGATTTACCTTCACGTGCGTTTTTTAAATTGCTAAGGACCTCAATTATGTGCAATGGCTAGAATATAACAATGATGCAATGACTACATTTTCAAAAGTGGGACATAGCATTTTGCAAAATTTTGCATGTCTTAGCTCATGGAAAAGTCATTGTTTGAGGCAACAGTGCATTCAAACCATGTTAGTCCAGACTAGTACAAGCCTTGCTTTGTGGTTTTGTCTCTCTGTAGGAAGAATGCTTAGCCACAGATGATATGTTGGTGGACTACTTCAACGAATTTTTGAGTCTTCCAGTAAGTACCTTACAGAAATTCCTTGCAAAATACTAGAAACACCTTAATAAAATTAGTAGTAAGGTAATCCATCTTAGAACACTTCGCATTCTGCCATTGGGAAGTTAAAGGGCTTTTACAATATGTCTGTATTTTAATGGTAGTGACTCTTATTGTTCAATGTTATTATTTATCAGGAAAAATAACACAATATCTGGACTTCTAGAGACAGATTTTCTCTTGCAAATTTACATGTTTAAATCACAGTGCACCAAAATAATATGCATAGGAAATGGAAAAGAAACGTAAATACTTATTTAAAAAGCATAAGGGATCCACTTTTATCCCAGTATCATGACATGCTGACACAACAAATGTTGGTCCTTTTACATTCTTCTGGCCAAGCACTCAGTGATTAATAACCACTTTACCTCAAGAACCAACTCTGTTTCTCTTCATTGCTGTGAAGATCTCAAAGTTGGCACTCCCCTCCTCTTCCCCTCCCATCTGCAGCTAGAAGGATGCAGCCTTACGCTGTATTCTGTGGGCTGATTCGGTTGCAGTTAAACCATCATACCCAGTGCCCTATATTTAACCAGTTGCCTTTTATTTTGCTTCTTTTCCCCAACAATTGCCCTCCCTCCTCACACTCTCATGGGAGTCACATGTACTGTCCTTCTCCCTCAATGCAGCGGCCTCATCCAACTTCATCTTAGTCTCGACTCTGACTATCCCCGTTCTCTCCATCCCCACACTTCATGCCCATACTCACTTGCAAGATGGCACAGACTTTTCCACAGTGTCACTCATGGCTCTCGTGAGGCCTTCCAGCTGATTTACTCCACAGCTGCCCCACAGCCTGTCCCCCTCCTAAAGTACCGCAGCCCAACAGGCTGCACCATAAGAACATATACTCAGTTCCGCAACTTGCTTGATAGGAATCACCGCCAGCATTAGGAAGGGGCAGAACATTTCTTGATGTTCCTTAGACCTAAGACTATGGTGAAGCAACTATCGAAATAAATTCAGTTATGATTTAGGATTACCAAACTGAACTAGGCACAGATGTCCTCTGTAAGCCACATCATAAATTTGTGTAAAAGTATGTTTAATGGGAGCCGCAGAACTAAGGATGGTAAAATGGGCTCCCCATGCCAATTTTTTATCTTAAAATAGAATCTGGAGGTATTACCTCTATATCAGAGTGTGGGTTTTGTGCACAGCAGCGATACTGACTTCGCTCAGGAGCTCAGCCTTTACATGCTTTCACCATACCGCAAGATTCCTAGAATAATTTTTACAAAGCTAAGGAGACACAGGTGGAAGAAAATGTATGGTGAGAGGGCTGCGGTTTTTCTCTTTCTTCCCGCCCCCTCCCCTCTTTGCAGCTGCTTTAGGACATCTGCCTAAATCCAAGCCTAACTATGTAGCTTTTAAACCCAGGCCTCCTTCCATGTGCCAGATTGTTCTTAGCACAGGAATACCATCCTCCATGCCTTTGCTGCTTATTTGGAAACTACGCTTCAAGTTTTCCCCCAATCACAGAGGATGGAGCGGATAAGAAGTTCAGCCTGCTTAGTTTCTGGATCTCCTTGGACATGCACAGATTTCAGGACATCTATTAGAGGCCAAAATTCTCCTTGGCCTCAGAGGGCTCCTCAGCCTGCAGTACTGGCACAGCTTAGCACCCCTGAATCACAGGGATTTTCTGGGCGCTCCTGACGGCTCTGGAAGCCCACAGAAAAGACTTCACAGACACTCCTGAGTAGTCAGTGTTTTGCACTGGTAATCTTGGTAGGTTTCTAAGATGACACGTTCTCTTTTCTATATATTTACATACCTTCATGAAAACAGAAGCTCTATTAGCTATTTTTGTCTGTAATGTTCTCATAATTGGTTTTATTTTCTCTTTGATCTTTTCCCGATAACTCTCTTCAGGATTAAGTTCTATTAGTGCCTGGAGTTCTGTGGTCTGAATACCTTATATTTCCCTTCTCAGAAGGCTTCTACTAAAACTTCACATTAAATTTCCACTGCTTTATTCTTGTTGTGCGTATAAGCTGTTGCCTGGGAACAGTATAACCCAGGTGTGCTAGTAGTTAGGCAACAAGTTAAACTAAAAATATTTTGTGACTCGATACAAGAAATCAGGAGTAGCATATGCTTATTTTAAGAGGCTGCCTCTGCGCTGATTTATAATGCACCACTAGCATATGGAAAATTGTATCACTGGGGACTTGCTATAGCAGCAGCAGATTTTTTTTTTTTTTTCTTTGCTTTACAGTATATCCTTCAAGTGATTCTGTTGTTATAATAATATTCAATACAATCTGACATGAATATCTAGGTACTCATACTGTAATGAAAGATAGTTTGTAAAGAAAATATTTCTGAAAGATAAAATAATACAAAAGACCTCATGAAGGCACTTGTTGCCAGTAGTACAGTGATTTCACAGTAGCAGAAACCATTCACATGACATACAAATGAGTTATGCCTTCCTTAGTAACTAATCTGAAATGAAAGATTTAAGAGAAACATCGCCTGGATGCATTTCCATTTCTAGTCGGTCAGGCATCCCTAGAATTTGAATCTTTGATCCATGTATTTAAAATATCCAGGAATATATTTAGCCAGGAATGAAAATTCAGAAGTCAGAAATTGCCCTCTGCCTCAGTGTTGGAGATCTCAGTAAGAAAGGCCAGTGATGTCAACTTGTTTTTTCTGCACTCTACAAGGTGCCTGCTACTTTTTCCATGCCAGGTCCATGCTGGGGCCTTACTCCTCATTTTCCAGTTACCAGTGATCCTGAAGAAGACACACTCCTCTTTGTGACCTCGAAGAGTTACACTAGAGACAAAAGAGCTAACTGCACTTCAGTTGAAGCATACTCAGGAGATGGCACTCTTGGTGGCAAGGCCCTGGCTGTGGGTTTCCTTTGCAGCAGAAAGATACCAAGTGACCACAGTTTTATCAACTTCAGGTTTGAAGACTACTTCTTTTGAAAGTCATTCTCACCAAAAAAGCTCTCCAGTCATAAAAAAACCAAAAGAGAATGAAGCAATTACTTTATCCCTTTTATCACATTAAACACATTCTTCTTTTCTTGCCTAGGAGCACAGAGATGTATTAATACATCTAAAAATAATAATACAAAGGACCTCATGAAGGCACTTGTTGCCAGTAGTACAGTGATTTCACAGTAGCAGAAACCATTCACATGACATACAGATGAGTTGCACCTTCCTTAGGAACTAATCTGAAACGAAAGACTTAAGAGAAACATTGCCTGGATACATTTCCATTTCTAGTCAGTCAGGCATCCCTAGAATTTGCATCTTTGATCCATGTATTTAAAACATCCAAGAATATATTTACCACACAGAAAGAAGAGGTAGCATACTGTAGGTATATTGCTTGATATAATTTTCATGCTAGTAGAAACTATTGTGATATGATTAAAAAAAATTATGCTAAATGGTCTAGGAAGATGGATACAGGCCAGTATGCAGCTAACAGTTTTAACTTAAGCATGACTCTGAGGAGTAGTCTGGGATCCAGGATTTGATGTGGGTGACGACTTCAAAAACAAATCACAAGTAATAAAGTTTGGGCCAATTGGTCTTTCTGAAAACAGAATGGTCCTGAAAACCTGGTGCCATCAAGAGTAAAAACAGACCTTATCTACGAGTAGCAGGTGACAGAAAGGGCAAAAAGCAATTCGCTCTGCTGAATAGTTCGGGCCCTTCTCTGTTTTGAAGATGGTTGTGAACAATTTGACGCATCAATTCAAGGCATCAATCTATGCTCATTAATTTCCTTGTCTTTTCCAGGTGTGTGGAGGGAGGCTGCAGGTACCAATACAACCTCCCTTAAAAAGACTTTTACATCAGTACGGCCCTACATGCACGTTATGTTGAGTCTTATCCAGGACTAAAAGTTGTTTCCTATCTTTGACATTCAAGGAAGCAAAATAAGCTTTCCTTACATTTTTCTTATTGATAGCAGATTTACTCAAAATGTTCTTCTCTCCTCTCTTAGTTAGATTGTAGTATGTGGTTGTGACTTGTGTCTCACTCATCAGTGGCAGGGAAATCCTGGACTCATTAAAGTCACTAGGAAATTTGCCATTGACCATGTGCAGTGTGAATTTTCCAGGCACTTCCTAGAACTGCTGAAATTCTCTTCTGGTCTGGACTCTCACTGACATTTATTTATGATACATACATACTCGTCTTAAGGAAGATTTGGCAAAGCTCTTGGGTGAGGTCTGTATTCATTCCCACCCTTTCAGGGCCTTAACCTAAGAGGTGGCCAAGCTTTGGTCATTCAGTTTCTCTTGGGATCAAACTACATTACTCAGGATGGGATGTGGTGAGCATATTTACACATTTGTTAAGTGTATCTGAAGTTAAATATATATGAAAACTGTTAAGGCAGAGAACAGCGAGATTTTATATGTCTGATATCCTGGCAACATGGTGATGGATGCTGTTTTGGTTTCTGTTTTGGGAGGAGTGAGAAAAATTTGCCTTCCCTTCAGTTAAGTGCATAACTCCAGTTTTAGGAATTATGTATTCTATTATTCTTCAGCTGAAACTATATTCAATGTACATTTGAAAGCTAAGAAATTTCTTCGCTGTCAAAATTATACATGCAGTTGTTTATTTATTCAATAGTATTGCTCTACCACAGTCTGAAAAAAGCTTTTTGTTGTTTGCTCAGAGATTGTTTCTGAAGCTGAGATGACTACACCGAGTTACATTGGTCACACTGAGTTCAAGGGTGTCCTGGTTTTGACTGGGCCAGAGTTAGTTTTTTCTTTTTAACAGTTAGAAGAGCTCTGTGTTTTGGATTTAGTCTGGGATTTGTTATGAGAAGAATGTTGATAGCGCACCGATGTTTATAGTTTGTGCTGAGACATCAAGGACCTTTCAGTTTCCCATGTTTTTGCCAGTGTGCAGGAGCACAACAGGCTGGTTGGGAGCATTGCTGGAACAAAAAGCCCACAACTCCTCTTA